AGCCCTGATGTGGTACAACTCCAACAAGATGTTTATGCGCACTGTTGACGAAATCCTCGCAGAAATGGAGGCAATATTCGCAAAGAAAGACAACTTGCTCAATGTACGTAGAAAATTTGAAAGGCGAATTTGGAAGTTTGGTGAACAGTTCAGTAGCTACGCTAACGAGAAACGGCTGTTAAGCGCTGGCCTCAACCTATGCGACGAAGAATTTGTTGAATACCTCGTAGACGGCATTCCTCATAAACAATTGCAGATACAAGCCAAGCTTCAGAATTTTAAAAGTGCTGGTGAGGTGACTAGAGCATTTCGGACTGTCGAGTTGCCGCGACGAGCCGCACCAAAAACGAATTTACAAAGTGGTGAAGTGCGGCTAAGGTGCTACAACTGCAATTGCTCCGGCCACATCGCAAAAGAGTGCAGCAAGCCTAAGCGCGAATACGGGACGTGCTTTGCGTGTGGCGAACGCGGACATTTTGCGGCGAGCTGCAACAACTACAAGAAGTCGACATCCAGTAGCAATTTTAATGCCTAGTCGATTCGGGGAGCCCAATAAGCTCACGTATATATATGCTGAGCAGAATCAGGTGATTCTATTCATCAGGATGGCCGAGCTGTAGTAGCGTTGTATAGGCTAGCTTAAGTAATAGATTAATAAATCATTGTAATAGCGTAATAGTCCCTTTAGCATATTTTTAGTACACGAATAGTGTAACTAGACCTTAAGATATAGTTATAAGACACCATCTTGTGAAAAGAAAAGAATAAAAGAGGACATTCCAATTTGAGCAGCGAAAGGAGAAGGTGTTTTATTTAAAACCCGGCTACCACTTTATTAACTTAAACCTGTACATTTCAATATCTATGTATATAGTACGTATGTATGTTTATGGGGGGCAAAATTTGTGACCTCGAGTCATATTTTAACACCTTTTCTTAATTACTTTAACAAAAGTTTCCTACAACTTTGTGCGCCAATTAAATGTATAAGGAATGAGTTGCCGACAAATTGGCTATGACCAAAGTTTGAACTGAGTATGCTAAATGGAAGTGGAAGGGAATAAAATGCATGTAAACGCAAAACTTATAAAGTTTTAGTGCAGGAATTTGATGATGAAATTTAAGAAAATTGCATAAACTTTTCTTAAATTATAATTTGTAATTAAGTTGGTTTGGAAATGAATAAAAGTGGAAGATTTGAGTGAAAAGTGAATGCAGTAAAACTGAGCTGTAAGGTAGAGTTTTGTATAAGCTTTTTCTCAAAAAGTACAAAGTATTAATTTAAAAGCAATAATTTTAGCTTGAAATGTCTACAGGTAAGATAATACCTATGATAAACGCCTTAAGTATATAAGTCTTTAGGCATAAGACGTAAGGTGATCTTGAATCTGCGATAAAGCGTACCACCCCTTCTCTATTCCAAATAAAGTTACACTGCTCTTATCAACACACAACAAGGCCACATTCATATGTATTTAAGAGCTTCCACAGCCCAAATTTATCACTTGAGTTTAGATTAAAGTCATTTTTAATTCTTTTTGTGACAATCGAAATGAAAATGTGTGAATGTGTGTATCTATACCCGAAAGTGTGCTAGAGATTCATTTGACCCATTTCAAATGCGACAACAGCGTTTTCGGTCTGCCAAGCAAACCTTTTGAGCGTAAAATTGTGAGAGACAAGTTTAAATAATAGCATTTATTCCTAATATCTCAGGTGTACTTAAGTTGAAGTGCTTTATACAAATAAAAAAAAAAACATAAATTTGAGTTTCCAAACTTAATAATAAATATTGGCTGGCATGTAATTTCGGCTTTTTACTATTAAAATTTATAGTTCCACTTTGCGTACCAAATGAATATTAAATTATTCTCTTGAGATCGTCATATGCATTTAACTGTATGGTTCTGTGTATATTTTCTCTTTTAAACTTTTGCGTAGGCATTTCACTCGAATGCTTTTTGGCAATGCATACGGATTATGTATCAAATATGTACGCTATCGACCCCTCCATTTCCAACATAGTTATATATATTAGGTATCCAAAGATTTGTACATAAATATATAACTATGCGGGAAGCTTCGTATATTCAACATATGCACCTAGCACCTTAGTAAATTAAAAATATGTACGTATAAATAGGTATAACTATGTATTACTGTAGTTAAATTTTGACCCGA